GGGGTGGTTTCGCAACCAAATACACGTTTATATAGCGAGCCGCTTGCTCCAAGCAGACACCCGCTTGCAGCCGCACCTACTGGTGAACAGACGCTGCAGACTTCAGTGAGCCCTTAAACCGAATAAGTCAGAGTGGCCCCACCGAAGCTCCCTCTCTTTCTGCCGTGACCCAAGGCTCCACTCGGATTGGTTACCGCATCTCGCACATGGGTTGCTCACGTTGCCCAGAGTGCGCGAACGAGGACGCAAGAGTCGGGATTGAGTATAGCCATGCAACTGTAACTGCATACCCAGCGCAATGACTATACCCCATTGCGCACTTGCGTTGCTCTTTACGCATGTAAAAATATACTGAGCTACACATGGGACCTGCGTCCTAATCTAACCAGTGTTGCCGTTTTGCTTATTTTTAACCAAAAATGGTAATTTATTTTCCCCTAAAACGTTTTTGGTAATTTGGTAATTTTTTTTTCTGTTTGGTAATTTTTTCGTTGCCTTAAGGCCAATACACACAATTTTATTCCTAGCATTCTGTAGGAAATACCCGTGATGCCGGAAGGTTTATTCTATTACAATTAGCAAGTGTCGGCGGTGTTCACACAAATTGTCTTTTTGAAGCTATCAATTAAGCGTAATCTGGTAAGCTTTCAGTTATAGCAGAAAGAAAATTTTCTGAATTAGCTTTAATAAAAACCAAATACAGGAACAAACTTAATGTTCACACAATAAACCATATCATGCTTGCTAAAGAGTCGTTACCGACAAAAACAGAAGACCGGTATATTTGCGCTCCTAGTGAGTAGTTTTTGAACTTTGTTATGTTTCATATATTGATCTCAGTATAGCTTTAAGTAGCATATCGCACGAATGCTGGATGAATGTCATATTAGAAAAAACACTTTATTTACGAAGTAGAATTAAGTCGTTTTTGTTTTTGAAAAATTTATTGCCGTATTTTAATTGGAAGAAAATATGTCCAAATTTTTACCATAGATGTATAAATTGAAAGCTTTGAAATCACTTACATCTGTTGTTTTTTAATATAACACTCCATCTAAGGTGCGATATTTATGTACCAGAATGCGAACTTACAGTCTGAAATGTGATTTGTATTATTAGATATACATATGTACGTATGCGAGTACCTGAAATATGAAATAAACGTGAATGCGATTTGTTACTGTTCTTTTTTAAAAATGGTAACTTTTTGGTATTTTTTTTTTTTTGGTTTTGGTAAAAAAAAAAAAATGTTTGGCTGTGGCAACGCTGAATCTAACCCATTGGGCATTGAGTGCGACTGTCAAAGCAGTATTATTCTACGGAGTACTAATGTAGTGGTGGACAGTAATGATTAAGTACACTTATATGTCAATAGGGTGCAAAGATTACCGATAGTAGTAATATTAGGAGCATTGAGGCCTACGCCAATAAAGCCCTAAAAAATGCAATGAGGCTCAATGCTAATGGCTAGTTCAATTACAGATCATACAGTCACAGTACTGCCGTTTTCTTTTCAACAAAAAAAATATAGCCTTTTCATTGCCCTCTTCTTTGTATTTGTGCCATAAGTTTTCCTGACACCTGGTGAGACAATCACGATTGAGGAGGATATATGGCGCGTTCCCGGGACAGTTGGGTCTACGTAAGCGGAACGACCCAGGTATATATCTGGCCAAGGACTGTCACTCCAGAAACATTCTCCAAAAACTGTATACTGATACAACAACAACAGGATGGATGGCGCAAGGTGGTTCAAAAACAACAAAAAATATGGAAGCAGGTGTCTATTCTCATGATTTAGAAATGAAAAAGTCCTTCAAACTATGAAATTACTGCAGCATCTTCCAAGTGAAAGTCACGGAGGTAAAGAAAGAGTGCTAGTAAACAATCATGCTGCATGTCATGCTATAAATTCCTCAAGAAAAATGTGACTTAGGCATGTTCCAAGAGGCTGATGCAAGGTTGGTACAAGAACGAGGGGCAAAGCTTCCAGGGCCATGCTCAAGTAACATAATCTGAAATTAACAGAACTTATACATATGTATTTAAACTACCAAGGGACCACCGTAGACTTCTGATGGGTCTCATAGCTAGTCATAATTGGTTAGCTAACCGCGCACTTAAAAAAGATTTGATGAGTGGTGTTAACTGTAGGAAGTGCGAAATGGAAAAAAAGAAAAGGTGGACGCCTAGTGTGCGATTGTCCAATGCTGGCAAATTTACGTGTAAACTGCTTTCCTCATTAACCTAGAGCAAACAACAAAATAAGGGTTCTGCAAAATCCTAAAGTTGGTTAAGAAGGTTCCCACCTGCTCCTCATGAATAAACATGGGCGAAAAATATCTGCCTATGTTAGGTTTTTACTAGCCAGCACCAGTTCTACTTAACTTGATAT